TTCCAGTAGTCAAATTTCTCCCCATCAAACATTGGGGGTTTGGTGCTGATCCTATCCCTCTCTTCATATTTATTGTTAATATTTGACATTGAATTATCAGCCATGATAACAAATAAATATAAATATCAAAGTATATCTCTCTGGATCTTTACTGACACTGTTAAGTGGTAGCACACTCAGAACCGGAGCTCTGATGCCAACTGAAGGTGAGATAATACTTAGAAGGGGGGGGGGGGGTTGAATAAGTATTAAAAATTAAGACTTGAAAATAATCACACAATTATTTTTATCCTGGTTCGTTTAAACAACTACTCCAGTCCACCCTTCCTAGAGTGATTTGCCTTTCTCAACAAGGACTTAATCCACTATTAAATCAAACTGATTACAATAGTAACACCTAAGAACAACAGTTCTTAGTCTTCTCAAGAGCTACTGATTCCAACTGAATCCTCTTAAGGAATAACCTTTACAATCAAAGTAAATTAAATACAAGAGTATTGATGCTTTTATAAAGCTTTTATCACAACAGTGATTTTTCTCTTAAGTTTAAGTACAATAAGATTCTAAGAAGAATATGAAAATAATGAGAGCTTAGAATAATATGATTTCTTTTCAGCAAATTGTGTAACTGAAGAATGTGGTGAAGTTCTCCTTTTATAGGCAGCTGATCCAATGAAGCTGAGCGTTGAAAAGAGAGTCCCAAAAGGTCTGAGCCTTTTTGTCTTCACATCAAGTGACTTTTCCTAGAAGTAGATGGCACAGAAAAATCCTTTTTGTCTGTGTAAGTGTGTCTAGCACAAATGAGGAAAGAGACATTGAATAACTCCAACGGATATATTCTTGAATACTTCTTCTTCAGTTTTCAGCAAGTTCTTTAGAGTCTGAATGGATCAGAGTCTTCTAATGAGATTCAGAACTAAGCTGTATCAGAGCCTTCTGCAGCATGTGTGCTTTCAGCGTGTTGATCATCAGAGCATTTTTGACACAGAACTTCAGTACTTGGCAGCGTTGGTACTTTCAGAAACTTCTGTAGATTAATACTTTGAGAAACTCTTCAATAAATATTCTTCTATGCTTCAGATGCTTCAGCTTCAGATGCTTCTGATTATCTTCAGATGCTTCTGACTCAGAATATTCTGGAGCTCTTTGCTTCAGATCCTTCTGGAGACTACGCTCAAGATCTTCTGTAAGGAGCAATCAAATTCTTCTGTAAGATGCATCTGGCGCTTCAGAGTCAGGATAACTTCTTGTATCCAAAACAGATTTGCTTCTAGAGAGTTAATTTCAATTCAATCTGCAGTAACACTCTCAAACAAATTTTAGAGTATATAATTCTTAAATATAGATTTCCTAACAATTATCATCAAAACAAAGAGTTATTATTAAGAAACAATCTGTGTTCTAACATATTTAGCCCAGTTGAATGTCCATAGTGGGGAATTTGGGGCTCATCAAGTAGGCCATAAGATGAAATGACTTTGTTTCGACAAGGAATGTATTGGCCTACTATGCTGAAAGATTGCATTGAGTTCGCCAAAGAGTGCCAAGAGTTCCAGATACATGCAGGTATACAACATGTTTCTGCAAGCGAAAACTACACTCTATTATGAAGCCTTGGCCTTTTACGGGTTGGGCGTGGGATCTGGATGGTGAGATTTAACTGGCATCTTATAAAGGTTATAGATACATCCCAGTGGGCATTGGCTACTTTACTAAGTGGATCGAGGCCATGCCTTTTGTGAATGTTGATCAAGAAGAAGTGATTAAGTTTATCCCGAAACACCTAATTTATAGGTTTGGGATCCCAGAGACCATCACAGCTGATCAAGGGTCAATGTTTAACCTCAACTACAAAAGAGAGTAATGAAGGGCGTCATGAAAAATGACCAATTTAACCCTTGGTTTTTAAATAGCTGAGGAGTAAAGTTATCTGCACAAAGGTTTGATCCCCAACATCTTCCTTTTTATTATTTTCATAACTGGATGGGGCACCCAATATTAAATCTCAGTTTTGCGTAAAAAAGAGATAATAACACAATATTTTTACCTCAGATATAAGTAAAAACCGAGGGGATACCACTATATATATTTTTTTATACTTTCGTTTGTACCAGTATTACAGAACCATATCACAGAATATAAAACCATATTTTGAATATTTCTGAAACATAAACTTGTATATTTTGCCAATATCTCAAATAGAATCATTGTACCACATATATTAATTATTTACACCAAATGCAAAGTCATAATTGCACACTCTTTATAATTTTACAACAAAACATAAACAAATGATTAAACAACAAAAGCAATAATCGAAATTGAAACTTTTGTAGATTGTCCAAAGGTTCTATGCTAAGATTTGTCACTAGTAGTTATGCACCTATAATATGAACAACATTTGAAACCAATTAGGATAATCATCAACAACATTAAATCTTTAGTAAAAGGAATAAAAATAATTAAAATAAATAATTATAAATTACTAAGTGATATAAAATATTTACTTACATGTTTTCTCATAACCCCTTTTTATGATTAAGATGAATATCATGCACATCATCTGAATCATTTGCTTCAGATGAATGACGTACATGTATTGCGAAACAAGGGAGTTCATAGTTAAAATCTTGATTTTCATTAGTACTATTAGAAATATATTTTCTATGAAGAACAATTGAACATCTAGTGTTTGAAGGATCTATGACATAAAAAACTTGTTTTGTTTGAGTTGCCATAATGAACGGTCCATTCTTATAAGCTTTCTTTAGAAGATCGACCAGTGTAAATCCTAATTCATCGGTTTCTACACCAGTGTTAATGTCAATCCATTTGCACTTAAATAAAGGGACTTTAAAAACAACATAATCAATCTCCAAAATCTCCTCAATGACCCCAAAGTACGCTCTAAATGCTAGTACATGATTGCTATCTTTGGAACTAAAGAAGTACATGGATTTATCTTCAACCATAACCCTAATATTTTTCATGGTACTACGATCATCCTTTGATTTTGTATAGAATAAAAATTTAGTAATGTCATATGCACTCCAAGTAATTACATTAAACTTAAGCATATGTGACAACCATTTAATTATTTATGATGCACCACTCTCTTTTAAAACACTTTCATAAACCAAGTCATGAAACTTTTTTTTTATGTTGTTTCAAAAACCATATTTCATTCATCTATGGGAATTTTTCCTTTATAAGAATATTGTGAGCGCTCAAGTAAGGTTGAAATACATCCATATTATTCAATATATAAAAATGTGCTTGAAGAACTACATCTCAGCCAGAAGTCTTAACATTTAAACCTTGAGTACCTCTACCATTATATCTTCCATCATGACGAGACTCATGAATTCTTATTGAGTTCGCTTATGACAAATAGTTTGTACAAAACTCAATAGCTTCTTCTATGATATGTCATTCAACAATCAAAGCCTCTGTACGGTGATGATTCTTTGTATACACTTTAAAGATCTTCATGTATCATTCTACCAGATACATCCATCTTAAATAAACAAGACAATAATTCTAATCTCTCTTACTAGATGAACTACTAAGTGAACCATAATGTCAAAGAATGATAGAGGGAAAACATCTCTAATTAACATTAGATAATTAGAGCCTTATGTTCCAACTCGTCTAAATTTTTAGGATGAATGACTTTACTACATATAACATTGAAGAATAAATACAATCTAGTTATAGTTACCTTACATTTTTGGCTAGAATGGCACAGATAGTCATTGGTAAAAGTTGTTGTATCAAGACATGACAATCATGAAATTTAAATCTAACTGATTTGAGATCTTTCATTGACACGAGTTTCTTCACATGTGATGAGTACCCTTGGAGAACTTTGATACCCTGCAAACATTTGCAATTTTTTTTCTTTTTTAGACAGAGCGTGACAAACTGGGGGCAAATATGTTATATTTTCTATTTCTTTTGGGGCTAATTCTTGTCGTATACCCATCACCATCATCTTCACGAGATTTCTTAGTATCTTTTGTCTTTCCTTTGATGTTTAGAAATATTCCAATCAAACTATCACATACATTTTTCTCCTACAAAAGTCTTAAATATTTAATCGATGGCATTAAATAATATTCATGTCGTTTCCTGGTTGTTTTGGACCCGAAATCATCACCGATAACATCATATATTTGCGCTTCATGCACAACCATGAGAAGAGCAAGCCACGGTGTATGGTTAATACTCAAATTACCAAAAGGTTTCATTCCGTCGGTGGCAGGTCCAAGCCTAAGGTTCCTCGGTTCAAGGGAGAAATCTGAAAACAAGGAATCAATTTTCTTTCATTGCAATGAATCAGCTAGATGACAAATTTTTCCATCACACACTCTTTCGTTTGCATGCCATCTAGTATTTTTAGCGTCATTTATATTAGCAAACAATCTTTTGAACATTTGAATTATCAGTAGTGTTTTGAATCAGATGTCTTGAAACAAAATATAAACGGTTTCTTTATGATCAAGAAACACACAAGGGTTAGGTTAACAAAGAAAACAAGGTAAAACAACAAGGAACAACAAGGATTGATTATGAACTACTATTCTTTCCTTACTCTTAGAACAAGATTACAAGTATACAAGAATAACAATACAACCTCTCTCTCTCTCTCTCTCTCTCTCTCTCTCTCTCTCTCTCTCTTGAAATTAGGATTTTATCTTCCTATTTTTCCTTATGCCAAGATTGAGAAACTAGCATCCTATTTATAAAAAAAATAGCACACTAACCTAATGGGCTTTTTAACAATTACCCATTACAAGCTAACTTAGGGTACAAGCTAACTTAAACCATTGATCTTACAAGTAAGACCCAATTCAACATGCTAACAAACCTAGCAATATTGACTAATGTGTGTTAGAACAAACTTCGACTACAACACGCATTACTCCGATAGCAACATGTGAACATACTTCGACCTCATGCTTAATTCCTGTCAAACCAGAAGTTACCCTTCGACCATATTAGAGTTCAATCCAACATCTCACAAGTAGGTACCACATCACCTTTGAAGGAACACCCTTTCTAGTTACATTGTCATCGTCTTTAACACCATTTTCCTTCTGCTTGTAGCGTGACTCCCCACATCTGGGGCACTCCTTCAATTTTTCATACTCTTTCCTATATAATATACAACCATTAAGACATGCATGTGTTTTGACATAGTTCAAACCCATTGGACATAATATCTTCTTGGTCTTATAACTACAGTTCGGCGATATGTTACCTTCTTGAAGCATTTCTTTCAAAATTTCAAGCAATTCAATGAAACTTCTATCCGTCCACCCACATTTTCCCTTAAGATGAAATAGTCTTAACATAGCTGATAATCTTGTAAAACTTTTGCATCCCAAATACAACGACTCTTTCATGTCTCTTTGCAAAGTATCTACCACATTAACTTTCTTGAAAGCATCTACTCCAATATCACGAATCATGTCTTTTAGAGTATATTCATAAATTCATCAGCATCTTCAAATGTATGTGACATAGGTTTTTTTTTATCACGTTATCATACCTCGTATAAATTTGTATATTTTCATCACAACCTAAATGATTGAATATAACAAACTTCTTTTTATAAATTAGGAGGAAAACAAACATTTTTTTAGGAGGAAAATTTTCAAATTTCTCCTAAATAAAAAAAATCCAAAATTAATTTATACATTTAATTTAAAAAAAATAATATTAATATATAGTAACAATGTAAAAGAAAATTTATACACTTCCAAATATGCATAGCCTTTAAATTTTTATATTTTTTTAAATTACATGTATAGTATTATATATATGAATGATGTAAATTTTTTTATACAAACCAAAAGATTAATTATCTATAGTGTAAAAAGTTTTATATATCAATTTATCATCATTATCTGTTGTATTATTTTATAAATTATTAAAATAAAAGTCAATTTTTTTTATTATTCAAGGTCTGCAATTAATTAACAGTATAAAATTCCTTTAAATTATCAGTATATTATATTCGAATATAAATTAATTTCTTTTAAAAACTAATTAAATACAATTAAATTATTCATATTTATTATATAAGCGGTGGCACTGTTTTCAACCATCATCTTCTTAATTCTTCATCAATCTTCAGAATGTTTCCCCCCCCCCCCAATTAATACTCTCTGTTATCATCACATGCAACAATTAAATGTTTTGATAAGCTTCAAATTAATAATATAAACTTTTTCTTTTCAAATTATCTTGAGTAACTCTACACTCTTCTTCCTCCTCTATATAAGTCTCCACTCCACCCATTTCCCCATCAATTCAACAACCTAGAGCTTCACTAAATTTACCACTTTATGGCTTTACAAAGATCTTACACAATGACTTTGAATCCATTACTGTTCTTGTTTTGTTTGTTTGCAGTGATGAACAACTTTGTGACGATAAGTGGTGCTAGAAAACTCAAGAATTTCCCACCAGATGAGAAAGAAGTTATTGGTGGTGCAAAGGTAGAAGAAGATCAAGTTGATCCAAGTAAGAATAACATGGAAAATACAAAAGTAGATAAGAATCAATATTTACCACCCTTTCCATTTCCAACTCCTACACTACCACTCCCTGCATTTCCTCCACTCCCTCCCATCCCCGGTCTTCCAGTCCCTCCCATCCCCGGTCTTCCAGTCCCTCCCCTTCCTATACCTTCTCCACCTATAGCGTAATAAGAGAATATGTAATAATAGTGTTGATACTATATGTATGAGAGTGTTAACTTGATTATGCTACAAGTTGTATGGTTTTTATTTTAGTATATAGCTATATGTACCTTTCTAATTTTTAACTATTATAATAGACTATGGTTGGTTTATTTTTGGTTTATTTTGATTTCTAGATGTTTTTTATAAAATAATTGTTTATGGATTAGTCAGTGGTGTTGGGTTTTAAGAGTTTTTTTTATTTAGTTAAACACAAATAATTCTTATTAAACCAAATTTATACGATCCTACAGTGTGTTGTAAAAAATTCACAAAATAAATACTTTGTTTTTTCTTTTCAAGGTATCACTAATTATTTTACATGAAAATCACTCAATCTTAGTTGTTTGCATCACAAGAGCTTACTATTATCTACTCTTTTTTTTAAAAATAAATATTATATATATATATATATATATATATATATATATATATATATATATATATATATATATATATATATATATATATATATATATATATATATATATATATATATATATATATATATATATATATATAAAAGTTTTCAAAAAGGAACCAACAAAAGAAGGATACTCCGTGTAGGAGAGATACTAAAAAATGTTATAATTTTTATTTACCAAACAAATGATAGTTTCAAAAATATTATCAAAATGACAATGTTTGAAAATCAATCAACGTGCATTCGTCAATTGGTTTGGCGAATTAGGCCAACCAATTTCCAAGGGATTCGCCATTTGGTTTGGCAAATGGGTTTGTTTGTGGGCTTTCGCCCATGCAATTGGCGAATTGGTTTGTGTTTTAGGGTTTGAATTTAATTATCATATAATATATTTTCGTTTTCATATTTAAAAGTCTTAAAATTTAATTGTTTTTTTATTTTAATTATTATTATTATTAACCATAAAATATATTAATTTATAATCTAATTAATATTAATATAATTAAAATATATTCGTAAGCATAAAGTGATAATAAAATGAAATTATATTAATTTATAATGTAATTAAAAATACACGAACAAAAATATAAATATAATGAAAATTACAAAAAAAACCCTAATGATCGGCTCTATCCAAGTGACCACCGGTGCCACATTGGGGGGACGCGTGTTGCGACGAGGTCTTCGATGAGGTTGTTGTGGTGTGTCAGGATGTTGTGTGTTGAGTTGTGGTGGAGGGTTCTGTTGGGACGGCCCCGGCGTATCAGCTAGATCTTGCATCATTTCACCCCAATAGCCGGGAGGTCCCATGTCACATGCACTTCCGTAGTCAAGGCCAATGCCCATGTTTTGGTACGATTGTCGGGGAGGGTGGGTGGAGTATGGACGGTATGGTTGTCCGAAAGTGTACATGGAGTTGGGTTGGTCTAGGTGTGTTGGTTGTTGTGGGGTGTGGTAGTTAAATAGTGGGTGGTTGGAGGTATAGTTGGAGGGGGTAGGGTCGAATGAGTTGTCCGGGATATAGGTGGCAGGGGGAGGATCAAAAGACATATCAGGGCTGTACTGGTTAGATGGTTGAGGCTGGGATTGGATTGGTGGCATGTAAGGTTGTTGTTGTTGATAGGGGGTATATGTTGGCATGGATTGGGGGGTGTCTTCGTATGGTGGTTGTTGTTGATGGTCTTCGTATGGTGGTTGTTGTTGATGGGGGGTGTCTGTTGGTATTTGTGGGTATGATGAAGAACCGCGTTCCCTTGGATCGGCCAAATAGGTTGGCTGGGACAGGAAAGGCTGGGTTGTCGTGACAGAACTAAACCAAGTCATATATTGAAGACTTGGCCTAGCCCCGTGCACAATAATGTCGGTTAAGACGTATTGCCTTCTTCTTTTCCAAAGTACACGCAACTACTTTGCAAACTCCTTCCAATCACCAACCATCCACTATGCGTCTACCCGTTTTTGATGCCACTTCCCCAAGTCTACGGGAGCATCTGGAATATCTTAATGCATCCCAAATTGGAGTTTCACCCGATCACTTTGGTGCATCTCCACCGTAGTGAACCTAATTATAGGTGTTTTTGTTGTCCACACAGCGGCATCGTCGGGGTTGGGCTGGTGGTCGAGACCCTCGTACGGCATCCAGACAAACTACAATATAGTTGTAAAATTAGGTTAGACAGGATGTGTGAAGTTTATGCATATACATTAAAAAAATTAGGGTAAATAGCTTACATCGTTTGGCCCAAGGTGGTCAATTAGGTTGCGGTATTGAATTATAGAGTGCCTTGGACATTTCTCATAATTCATCCCGGGTACAGACCACCTAAAAAAATAAACACAAGTTAGAAATTATTAACTGAAATAGAATACGTAGATGCTAAATACTGTTGAAAAGATACTTACTTTTTTGCGTAGGGGAACGTAAAAGAATTTCTGTTTATTGGAGCAAGCATTGGCATCCTCGACCAACCCCAAGCTTGCAAAAGATAGGCACAACCAAAAAAAGTACAAGAATTTTTTTTGGACGTCTTACAAAGTGCGCTATATAGATGGGCGAGGACTGCTGATCCCCAGCTATATTCACACACTTTGTTGATATTACGCAGTAATGGTAAATACATAGTATGAATTGTATTTCCAGTGCCGTCTGGAAATAAAAAGTGCTCAAATAAAATCATAATATAGCACCGAGTTTTGAGTATTTTCTCATACTCGGTGCTCTCATCCGTTAAAACAATACCATTGTATTGTTCTCTCAGGTATTTTAAGTTAATCCCCTGACCCCTCGGGCGGCCCTTGCTTGCCGCCTGAGGTCCGTCCTCACAAAGAGGGGCGCCCAATAAATCTTCACAAAGTCGGTCAGGGACACCAACTTTGCCGTTGACGGCCTTACCATCAATGTGTAGGCCGAGCAACATATAAACGTCCTGGAGAGTCACAATACACTCACCACAAGGAAGGTGAAATGTATGTGTCTCCGGTCTCCAGCGTTCTAACAACGCTAGAATAAATTTTGTGTCAAGGGAATAAGATTTGATTTCGATCACATGCCCAAACCCACAATGTATAAGATAGTTTGTAATGAGGGGGTCGTGTGGTATGTAATCATGCACACGACACCAAAACCTTGATACATCCTGCAAAATAATGAAGTAAAATTACTATAGTTTTTTTAGACAAAATTACTATAGTTTTTTTGGACAAAATGGTAAAACATAGACATGAACAAAAGGACTTACAAACTCGGCGATGTTTTCAGCCGTCCCTCTATGAGAATCACCCATGGTTAGTACAGACATTGTCGAGAGTTGGGAGTTTGAAAGTTTAAGAGTTTCAGACTTTGAGAGTTTGCGAGTTTGAGAGTAGGAGAGTAAGAGAGTAGGAGAGTAAGAGAGTAGGAGACTTTAAGTGTGAGTAGAATTTGATGGGTAAATACCCCATATTTATATTCCAAGAGTGGATATGGTTTAAGTGCATGCTTGACACTTGTGAAGAGATATGTGTTGTGTGAGTGCATGCTGAGCACTTGTGATGAGATATGTGTTGTGTGGGTGCATGCTGAGCACTTGGCGTGACATATGTGTTGTGTGGGTGCATGCTGAGCACTTGGCGTGACATATGTGTTGTGTGAGTGCATGCTGAGAACTTGGCGTGACATATGTGTGGTGTGAGTGCATGGTTGACACTTGGCTTCAGCTATGCGTAAATGCAGTGTCTTTTTTGTAAAAGGATGCAGATCACATGTGAAAAAATGAGATTCCTTCAGTGTAGCGTCTAATCAAACAGGCTACATGGCATTTAT